AGTGCCGGCTGGCGACCCCCAGGGGGAGGGCCTTCTCGGTGGGAGCTCCCACCCTCTGGAACGAACTACCCCCAGAGATCCGGGTGATCCCGGATCTCCCTTCCTTCCGCCGCGCCCTTAAGACATGGCTATTTCAACTAGCAGGACTGGCCTAAGGGGAAATTTTTAGCGGGGTTTTAAAAACAATTTTAAATTAACACAGGCCAAATCTAATATTTCATTTTAATTATGTTTTTTAACGATAGTATTGGGGTATTTTTTGTATTTGTTTTTATCAGGCTGTCAGCCGCCCTGAGTCCGCAAGGAGAAGGGCGGAGTAAAAATTCAATAAAATAAAATAAATAAATAAATAAATAAGGCAGCGGGGGCCGTTCCCTCGCTGTTTCCAGGATGGCTTCGCGGGCCACATGAAACCACTTTGCGGGCCGCATCCGGCCCCCGGGCCTTGTGTTTGACATGTCTGCTGTAAGCGTTCTTCATAGGTTTTAGCCTCCAGTCCCCTAATCGTCTTCATTGCTCTTCTCTGCACTCTTTCTAGAGTCTCAACACCTTTTGAGTTTTGTAGTATTGCTCTTCTCTGCAAGGCCAAAGGAAAACTGGCAGTAAACATTTCAAGAAGATCTAAAAAAAAATATATCAACTTTTCACGGAAGGATGCGGAGACTATAGCCGCAGACCGAGAGCCGTGGAATATGCTTGCGGCTTACCTTGCCCTGTGGAGTCAGCTTCCAAATGACGGAGAAGGTGAGTCTGTCGGTCATGGGATTAAGGCTGCAGAGTTCTTCACACAGCAGCTGGGGAAGCATCGGGATCACCTGGGAAGCGAAGAAGCACAGGGACATCTGAATGTGAGCGCCTGGTTAGTCTAAGACAGGCCTTTTCACCCATTGTACCACTTTTAGGATAGGGCAACATCCGAGGACCACCAGTCACCTAGCAAGGGGTCAAAAACTTGATGACCCAAAAAAAAAAAAAAAAAGGAAAAAAGTGATAAAGTACAGGTAGTCCTCGACTTACAACAGTTCGCTTAGTGACGGTTTGAAGTTACAATGGCACTGAAAAAAGTGCCCCCCAAGTCACAGCCGAGCAAGACACCTGCCCAGAAGAAGCGCCGATCAGCTGGAATGTTGCAGCCTCTCCAGGGTCTTGTGATTTACCTTCAGATGCTTGGCCACTGATTCATATTTATGACGGTCACAGTGTCCCAGGGTCATGTGAAGGGACCAAAACCTGCTGGAACCACCCAGCAGACGGGGGGGGGGGAATAAAAACCACACACACCCCCACCCCACCCCCGCTGCCAATCCTCAACAGAAATGCTCACAACAATGGAAACCTCGGACAGGAGGAAGAGCGCCGCTGGGTGGGCAGGCAGGTCTCTTGCTCGGCTGTGGCTTGGGGGGCACTTTTTTCAGTGCCATTGTAACTTCGAACAGTCTCTAAGCGAACTGTTGTAAGTTGAGGACTACCTGCACTTTATCACTTTTTTCCTTTTTTTTTGGTCATCACGTTTTTGACACCTTGCTAGGCGACTGGTGGTCCTCGGATGTTGCCCTATCCTAAAAGTGGTACAATGGGTGAAAAGGTTGAAAAGCCCTGGGATAGTATATCCAAAATTCTTTGCCCATCTTATCCTTGTTTCTTTTACTTAGTCTTCCTCCGTCTTTAAGTTGAATAGGAATTGCTATTTCTGAAGGGTAAGTTGCCTGGCTAAAAAAACCAAAAAAACAAAAAAACACCTGAAGGGGAGAGTTCATTAAACAGGGAATAATCAATAGCCCTATTATTGCTTTGCTGGCACCTCTGCCTGCTATGGCATTAGCTGTCCCTGTCATCCTCTGTTTATGCCACCTTCAGCCAACTGGGCTTGCCAAAAAAAGCCGAAAGCAAATAAGTAAATTTGAAAAAAAAAGGGGGGAAGGGATAGAAAAAAAAAGAAAAGAAAAGAAAGAAAAAGATCCATCATCCCGTGCCTAAGTTTTTGGAAAAGCACCCGCAGTTCATCTTCACCCCCCGAGCCTTCATGGGAAAGCTCTTCAAAAATATTTAATCACGTTTGCGGCTTGGCACCCGATCTCCCCCCCCCCCGCTCATAAATCCACTCTAATTGCCTGGCAGCGGTCGGGAGAAGGAGAGAGGAGAGCCTGGCGTGGAGTCTGGATGGGAAACGGAGTGGCTTTCCGTAGGAATCAGCGGGGCTGGTTGAACTGGGAAGGTCAACAGGCACCGGAATGTGATAAGCTTGTTCCTCTGGATGCAGAAGCTGCCAGCTGTGTTGTTCCAAGTGGCGAGGGAGCACGTTCACAATGAGCGCTCGGGCATAATTGAAAAATTTCCTACGTGAGGCTGGCCATGGTTTGGGCCAACAATGGCAGTCTCTCCCTTTGGAAGGGGCAATGCCCTGGCTGAGGGGGGGGGGGTTGTTAAAAGGTCCTTGGAGTTCAGTATCAGATAATCACAGGGAGGCAGGTTGCACAGACCTCCGTAGCTGGCAGGCGTGCCGGCTGGGGAATTCTGGGAGTTGAAGTCCACCCATCTTCGAGTCACTAAGATTGGTAGGCTCCTTGGACTAATCCACAGGTAGGCAACCTGGGCTCTTTTATGACCGGTGGACTTCAACTCCCAGAATTCCTGAGCCAGCCATGCTGAGGGGAAAGGGAGAGGTTTCCAAGCTGAGCCAGGCTGGCTCAGGAATTCTGGGAGTTGAAGTCCACCAGTCATAAAAGAGCCAAGGTTGCCTACCCCTGGTCCAAGGAGTCTCAATCTTAGTGACTCGAAGATGGGTGGACTTCAACTCCCAGAATTCCTGAGCCAGCCATGCTGAGGGGAAAGGGAGAGGTTTCCAAGCTGAGCCATGCTGGCTCAGGAATTCTGGGAGTTGAAGTCCACCAGTCATAAAAGAGCCAAGGTGGCCTACCCCTGTTCTAGACTCTTGCTCAGCCTGAACGGTGCTTCTCTGGGACTCGCGTTTTCCCCTATAAATGACCTGAATTCATAGAATCCTAGCCTGGAAGGGACCTTGGAGGTCTTCTAGTCCAGCCCCCTGCTCAAGCAGGAGAGCCTATACCAGAGGTAGGCAATCTTGGCTCTTTTATGACTCGTGGACTTCAACTCCCAGAATTCCTGAGCCAGCCATGCTGAGGGGAAAGGGAGAGGTTTCCAAGCTGAGCCATGCTGGCTGAGGAATTCTGGGAGTTGAAGTCCACGAGTCATAAAAGAGCCAAGGTTGCTTACCCCTGGACTAATCAAAGCAGGGGCCCGGCAGACACCGAGGAAGCTGAAGAACTGCTGATTCCATCCAGCAACGGATGGAAACTGAGCAAGGAGAGAAGCAACCGAGAACTAAGGAGAAATATTCTGACGGTGAGAACAATTAGCCAGGGGAACTCCTTGCCTCCAGAGGTTGTGGGTCCGCCACAAAGAAGAGGGGGTCAACTTGTTTTCCAAAGCACCTGAAGGCAAGGCAAGAAACAACGGATGGAAACTAATCAAGGCGAGAAGCAACCTGGAATTAAGGAGAAACTTCCAGATAGTGAGGACAATTAACCAGTGGAACTACTTGCCTCCAGAAATTGTGGGTGCTCCAAAACTGGAGGTTTTTAAGAAGAGACTGGACAGCCACTTGTCTGAGATGGTATAGGATCTCCTGCTTGAGCAGGGGGTTGGACTGATTCTAAGATAAATAAATAAGATACATGACAAACAGAAGGATGGATGGATGGAGGGATGGAGGGATGGATGGATGGAGGGATGGAACAGCTTGCCTTGAAAGATTGTGGGTGCTCCCTCACTGGTGGACTTCAAGAAGGGACTGGACAGCCACTTGTCTGAAATGGTATAGGGCAGGGGTCTTCAAACTGGGCCCTTTTATGACTTGTGGACTTCAAGTCCCAGAATTCCTCAGCCAGCCTCCATTTTGTTTGTTAGATTTAAGACAGGGGTCTTCAAACTTGGCCCTTTGATGACTCGTGGACTTCAACTCCCAGAATTCTGGGAGTTGAAGTCCACCAGTCATAAAAGGGCCAAGTTTGAAGAGCCCTGGTATAGGGTCCCCTGCTTAAGTAAGGGGTTGGACTAGAACAGGGGTCCCCAATCGCCAGGCCACGGCCCACTACCGGGCCACGGCCTGAATCAAAACCAGGCTGCAGGAGAAATGGGCAAGCGCGCGCATGAGTGGAGTGTGAGTGGAGCTTCGCGGGTGAGGGGAAGCACCCTCCGCTCAGGCGTGAAGCTCCATTGGCTCAGAACCAGCACTGATGATGTTACCTAGTTGGGCAATGCAACGTCTGCGAGAAATGCACCAAGCCCAGAGAGCACCAAGGACCCCACAGTCCTCCTCCTCCTCCTCTCCACAAACCCCACTCCCTTCTAGCACTGATGACGTTAGCTAGTTGGGCAATGCAACGTCTGCGTGAAAGCCACCCAGCTCGGAGAGCACCAAGGACCCCTCATGTGTCAACCCTGACTTACAAACACCCTCCTTTATTAGTCCTGGGATAACATGACTTGAGGGAGCCCAGGGTAAGAGCAGACTTCCAGCAGGACTCGGTGGCTACCGGGTTGAAACAGAGGCCCTTTCCAGGAGAAGACCCACCAGGAGTGGGAATCGCAGTGGGGACTCCTGAAAGAAATCTGTGAGCTTGCACGGGGCATAAAAGCCAACATTTCCCCTGAGCCCCACCAACGGTCTCATTCCCCTCGCTCAGCTGGCCCGCCTGTCCGTTCCTGCTCAGTTTGGGACTCCTTCAGACGTCCCAGGAAACCGGCGTAGCTCCCTGTCGGCAACCCGGGATTTGAACCTGCGATTTGCGGAGAGCCCCATTGCAGGAGCCTGAAAGGAAGCCGGCAATTTATTTATCGGCCAAGTCTTTCTTTCTGCTCTTCCAGCTTTTCCTTTCTTTTTTCCTATTTCTTTCGGGTGTCGGCCCTTCCACGAATCCGGACTTCGATCCCTCCTCTATTATTCCGCCTGACCTTATCAAAACACCGACACCCTGACAACCTGCTGGTGTCAGAAGCGAGCAGAGCATCGCATCCCCGAAGGCCCTTGGACTCAACCCCGAAGACTGGCTTCCAGGGCAATCTTTGATCTCCATTCGGGAAAAGACAACCTCGCAAAATATTGCCGGAGATTTATGGCTGACCTTCCCCGCTCCAACATTTCACACCTAAAACAACAGGCCGGGAAGTGCCAGAAAAAGAGGAGAAAATCGTGTAGTTTTGCCTGCTTTGTAGAATCCGATATGCTGGTTGTTGGTTTTTTTCCCCCAAGATTTGCGCTCTCTCGAAACAAACCTTTCACCTTTTTTTAATACACAACTGCCCAGGCAGGCAATTCAAGGGAATTAATTTATGCAAAGCTATTTAGTTTCTCTGCTGCCCCCAATCCCACCCCGTTCCCACAGTTTTCATAAAAGCCTCGTGGAATTACAGCCAGTCGTGGTCACCGCGATACTTAAAAAAGATTTTGAACTTAAAAAAAACAGATCTGACTTACCAGAGGGGGCATTATATGATTAAATATCTGTCTGAATAGGGTTAAAAGGATAGAGAACCCTTAGATATAAATAGACTTTTATAGTAAGAAAGATATGATGTATAATTAGAACAGCACCTTTTTTTTTTTGGATACGGGAAATATGAAAACACCAGGATGGTTTGTATCAATGAAATTCTTAAGCTACACCAATGTAACTAATTGAGAGAAAATCGTTAACGGACAAAAGATATTCGGAATATTGATGGGAAATTAAATTTAAACAAGAGCTTGAAAAACAGGCGATGGATTTAACAAGGAGGCTTTAATTGCAAATACAGCTGAAATATAAACTGGTTTAGAATAGAGGTTATAAACGGATATGATTGTTGTTTGTACAACACTAGAAAAATATGACGAGGATGCGTATATTTAATTTGGTATGGATTAATAGTAGCCAGAAGTGTATTTGCGTAGTGTTGGGAAAATGAAAACAATATGGGAAGAAGGGAGGATCAGGGGAAAAAAAACACATTTGATTGTGTAGTATTGAACAGATTTATACGGAAGAATGTTAAGATGTAATATTGAGTAACGAATGGACCCGGACATCACGTTGTGTACTAAGCACTTGTGATTTGTAATAATAAAAAATGAATATATATATAAAAAAAGATGTTGAGACTCTAGAAAGAGTACAGAGAAGAGCAACAAAGAGGATCAGGGGACTGGAGGCTAAAACATACAAGGAACAGCTGCTGGAATTGGGGATGTCTAGTTTAATGAAGAGAAGGACGAGGGGGGACAGGATAGCAGCGTTCCAGTATCTCAGGGGCTGCCCCAAAGAAGAGGGAGTCAAGCTCTTCTCCAAAGTGCCTGAAGGCAGGACGAGAAGCAACGGATGGAAACTCACCAAGGAGAGAAGCAACCTAGAACTAAGGAGAAACTTCCTGACAGTGAGGACAATTAACCAGTGGAATGAATTGTGGGTGTTCCAACACTAGAGGTTTTAAGATTGGATAGTTATCTGAAATGGAATAGGGTCTCCTGCTTGAGCATGGGGTTGGACTAGAAGACCTTTGAGGTCCCTTCCAACTCTGTTAAGCCAGGGCTTTAATGCTACCTTAACATGGCTGCAGTCCTTTCTTTCTTCCCTCAGAGAAGAAATACTTACTTAGAGGAATTCATGCTTTAACAATGTTTTAGGGGGTACTTTAGCTTTCTAACTATTCACCTTTGCATTGGGGGAATGACAACGCCTCTTATTTACAATTTTCCCCAAAGAACCGTAGGTTAGGATTTTGCTTAAGAGTCTCAAACAAGCCGGGGATTATAGGATTTGAACTGGAAAAAAAAAACATCCACAGGGCGCCAGTTCAAGCAGATACCGATAAACCGTTCCTGCTGAATTTATTAGCTGCGGAATTCATCGTAATCCATGCTTTAATTCTACCAGAGGATATCATACCTTTGCTCTGAGGGTGGTCCTCGACTTACAACGGCTCATTTAGCGACGGTTCGAAGTTACAACGCTACTTGTGACTCTTTTTCACACTTACGGCCGTTGTGGCATCCCCGTGGTCACGTGATCAAAATTCGGAGGCTTCGCAACTGACTCATATTTACGACGGTTTTGCAGTGTCCCCCGGGGTCACGTGACCCTCTTTCGCCACCTTCTGAACCAGCCAAGTCAAGGGGGGGAACCCAGATTCGCTTAACAACTGTTTTACAAACTTCACAAGCGCAGTGATTCACTTAACGACTGTGGGAAGAAAGGTCGTAGAGCGGGGCAAAACTCACCGAACGGCTATCTCGTTTTGCAATAAAAAAAAATTGGGCTCAATTCTGGCCGTATATATTTGCCAAGGTTGCATTCATATCAGTCTTACTCTCTTGTAATCCCTTTCTCTGCACTCTCTCCACTATAGGAGGTAAGAGGGGAAAAAACAAAACAGGCATGGCTGGTTGGGGAATTCTGGGAGTTGAAATCCACACCTTTTAAAGCGGCCAAGTTTGAAAAACACTGTTGTAAAACTACACCAAATGACCCACGGAAACAGCCTAATGATGGTCTGTTTGCCAATGTTGCATTCATCTCAGTCTGATTTAATATCAGGGAGAAACCAATGCAGGGCAGCTCACCAACTTATGAAGTTTATTACACTGGCTGCCATGTTAATCACGGTCACTAAAGGAATAAGTCGTAAGTTGAAGACGACCTATAATAATGCCAAGCAGATTCCTGTAAAACAATTATTTTTCAAACTTGGCCCCTTTAAGAGGTGTGGACTTCAGCTCCCAGAATTCCCCAGCCGGTATACCTTGCTCTCTTGTAATCCCTTTCTCTGCACTCTCTCCACTATAGAAGGTAAGAGAAAAAAATCAAAACAGGCATGGCTGGCTGGGGAATTCTGGGAGTTGAAGTCCACACCTCTTAAAAGGGGCCAAGTTTGAAAAAGGCTGTTGTAAAACCAGACCAAATGACCCACGGAAACAGCCTAACGATGGTCTGTTTGCCAATGTTGCCTTCATCTCGGTCTGATTTAACATCAGGGGGAAACCAATGCAGGACAGCTCACCGACGTATGAAGTTTGTTAAACTGGCTGCCGTGTTAATCACCTTTCAATGCCAAGGTTTTCAGCGACGCTAACTAGCATCTGTGCTTAGTTTGGCTTAGACAAGCCCAGCGCTCCGCCGCTACATGGTTAAGGGTGGAAGGCAGTTGCACCCCACCTCCCCCAAATAAGCAGTCGATTGGAGCTATGGAATATTGGAACCACTGGTCCGAAAAAAGGAGATCTGTCAATCAACAGGAAATGGCAGCCAATAATATTGGAACTTGCAGCCTGGCAAGGGAAGGGAAATGGGATTGGAGAAAGAGGAGAAACCGCCAAGGGTTGGTAAGAGCCAGCCAGGATTCTGGAATACTGTAGGGGGTGGGATTCGGAGAGAGGGGAGCGAAACGATGGCATCAGGTTTTAAGTTTGGCCTTCCTAAGGAGAAAATGCAGGGGAAACAAGGAGAGCGACGGGATACTCATGACAAGCAAACTTAAATTTAGGAGTAAAGGAAACGTACGAAAAGGTCAGCAGAGACGAGTCCTTCTCCACCAGTAAAACACAGATAGAACAGAGCTGGAAGGGGCCGTGGAGGTCTTCTAGTCCAGCCCCCCCGCTCAAGCAGGAGATCCTATACCATCTCAGACAAGTGACTATCCAGTCCCTTCTTAAAAACCTCCAGTGATGGAGCACCCATGATGTCTGGTGGCAAGCTGTTCCACTGGTTAATTGTCCTTACCCAAGAGACTTCAGCCCCGACTGGCAAATATTATTGTGGGGTTACCTTTTGGGATGACAATAAAGGTTGTCCTCGGCTTACGACCACAAGGGAGGCCCAAATTTCTACCATTCAGTGAGACATTTGTTAAGTAAGTTTTGTCCCGTTTTACGACCTTTCTTGCCACAGCGGTGAAGCGAATCGCGGCGGTTGTTAAGTTAGTCACACGGTTGCGAAGTGAATCTGTTTTCCCCCCATTGACTTGGCTTGTCACAGGACCTTGGCAAACAGCAACCGTCATAAATATGAACCAGTTGCCAAGCATTTGAATTTTGAGCACGTGACCACGGGGGTGCTGCAACGGTCGTTAAGTGTGAAAAACGGTCATAAGTTACTTTTTCCAGTGCGGGTGTAACTTAACAACTGCAGTGGTTCACTGAACGACTGTGGCAAGAAAGGTCGTGTAATGGAGCAAAACTCACTTAACAGCTGTCTCGCTTAGCGGCAAAAAAATTGGGCTCAATTCTGGCCGTACGTCGAGGACTACCTGTATATATTTGCCAATGTTGCATTCATATCCGTCTGATTTAATATCAGGGAGAAGCCAATGCAGGGCAGCTCACCAACTTATGCAGTTTATTAAACTGGCTGCCATGTTGATCACGGTCACTAAAGGAATAAGTCGTAAGTTGAAGACTACCTATACTAATGCCAAGCAGATTCCTGTAAAACAATTATTTTTCAAACTTGGCCAATTTAGGTTGTGTGGACTTCAGCTTCCAGAATTCCCCAGCCGGCATAGCTTACTCTCTTGTAATCCCTTTCTCTGCACTCTCTCCACTATAGGAGGTAAGAGGAAAAAAACAAAACAGGCATGACTGGCTGGGGAATTCTGGGAGTTGAAGTCCACACCTCTTAAAAGGGGCCAAGTTTGAAAAAGGCTGTTGCAAAACCAGACCAAATGATCCACGGAAACAGCCTAATGGTGGTCTGTTGTGCCACGGAGTCAAACTTCCTGCTAGACACGTGACGTGTGTCAATCTTCAACACTCAAAAGAGGCTGAGTGTTGTTTGAAGGCGGCTGTGAGGCATTAAGATCCTTCTCACCTTTTGCACCAGGTAAACACTTGTGGCTCTTTCACTCGCAACGTCATCCAGGACGGTGCCTTCCGGGACGAAATAACTCACATCCGCGATGTGAACGCCAACTTCGAAGTTCCCTGAAAGGGCAAAAGGGGATCGTTCATGAGGCTGGCTGCGGCATTCTGGGAGTTGAAGTCCAGACATCGGAAAGTGGACAAGACTGAAGAACACTGCGTTATATCGTACAATGTGGAATTCCTGGCTTCCTCTGAGGAAAAAGAAAACTGCAAGGAAATACAAGCAAATGCGGGTCGCCCTCGACGTTACGACGGTTCGTTTAGTGTCCGTTCAAAGTTACCAAAAAAAGGACTTATAACCATTTCCATACTTGATAACTATGTTATTAACTTAACCACTGCAGCGATTCCCTTAACAACTGTGGTAAGAATGGTTGTAAAATGGAGCAAAAATTTAGTGAACTGTCTCGCTTAGTGACAGAACTTTTGAGCTCAATTGTGTTCGTAAGTTGAGGACTCCCTGTGTGATAAAAACCAAGGCATCACGGGCCTACTTGAGAATGTTCTAACTCAGTGGTTCTCAACCTGTGGGTCGGGACCCCATTTGGGGTCGATTGACCATTTCATGGGGGTCGCCAAGCAAGGCTGTCCGCCATTTTTTTTGTCCGCCATTTTTTCCCCCTTTTCCGGCGGGTGCCTTACTTCCCTTGGGCTGGGCCAGCTGGTGGTCGGCCTGCTCCGTCTCTGCCGCTTGCCAGCTACACCTCGGCCGGCGCAGGGGGCGGAACCACGCATGCGCAGCGCTCCCGGGCAGGGAAAGTCCTCGACTTACGACCGGTTGGGTAGTCCTCAACTTATGATCGGGTTAGTCCTCAACTTACGACCTGGTTAGTCCTCGACTTACGACCGGTTTAGTCCTCGACTTACGACTGGTTGGGGTCGCGGCATTAAAAAGGTTGAGAACCACTGTTCTAACTCCTGTTTAGAGAGACCCCCTTTCCAATCCCTGCTCACGGCCACCCGACCCCTAGTCCCCTCCCGCCTTGACTACTGCAATGAGCTCTACGTGGGGCTGCCCTTGAAGATGGTGCGGAAGCTTCAAAAATCGGTTCGAAAATTCAGCCAATTCATGCTGGCTGGGGAATTCTGGGAGTTGAAGTCCACCCGGACTTAAAATGGCCAAAGTTGAGAAACACTAGTCTGTGTAGGCCATCAATCTCAAGAGCAAAACTAAATGTCTTCACAGATTCTCAGTCATTTGTCCCAAAGATGCTTTTTAAAGAAACAGCTGGACTTCCTTGTTTTTCCTTGGAAGACGTTTCGCTTCTCATCCCAGAAGCTTCTTCAGCTCTGACTGGATGGTGGGGAAGGGAAGGATTTATATTCCTCACAGACAGCTGGTCATTTGCATTCTTTTAGAGGGTCGTTGAGGCAACTTGGAGGTTTATCTGATTCCTCGGGGACACCTAAGCAGTGCGAATGGGTGTGGAGCCTTCCTGCAACTGCTGAAAGGACTCTGTTGTAGACTGGAGATAGACGATGTCCCTGAGGACACAGACAAACCTCCAAGTGGCCTCAACGACCCTCTAAAAGGATGCAAATGACCAGCTGTCTGCAAGGAGTATAAATCCTTCCATTCCCCACCATCCAGTCTGAAGAAGCTTCTTGGAGGAGAAGCGAAACGTCTTCAAAGAAAAAGCAAGGAAGTCCAGTTGCCTCCTGAAAAAAAGCACCTTTGGGACTCAAGAGTAAAGCAGCCCGAGCCAAACATTTGCAAAAGGGCTAGGGGGAAAGAAAGAAAGAAAGAAAGAAAGAAAGAAAGAAAGAAAGAAAGAAAGAAAGAAAGAAAGAAAGAAAGAAAGAAAGAAAGAAAGAAAGAAAGAAAGAAAGAAAAAAAAAGAGACAAAGAGAAAGAGAGAAAGAGAGAGAAAGAGAGAAGGAAAGAGGGAGAGAGAGAGAGAAACAAAGAAAGAAAGAAAGAAAGAAAGAAAGAAAGAGAGAAAGAGAGAAAGAGAAGGAAAGAAAGAGAAAGAGAGAAAGAAAGTGAGAGAGAAAGAAAGAAAGGAGAGAAAAGGAAAGAAAGAGAGAGAGAGAGAGAAAGAAAGAGAGAGACACAGAGAGAGAGAAGAAAGGGAGAGAGAGAAAGAAAGAAAATGAGAGAAAGAGAAAGAGAGAGAGAAAGAAAGAGGAGAGAGTGAAGGAAAGAGAAAGAGAGAAAGAAAGTGAGAGAGAAAGAAAAAAGAAAGAAAAAGACAGAAAGAAAGAAAGAAAGAAAGAAAGAAAGAAAGAAAGAGAGAAAGAGAAAGAAAGAAAGAAAGAAAGAAGGAAGGAAAGAGAATGAAAGAAAGAGAGAGAAAGAAAAAGAGACAAAGAGAAAGAGAGAAGGAAAGAGGGAGAGAGAAGGAAAGAAAGAGAAAGAGAAAGAAAGGGAGAGAGAAAGAAAGGAGAGAGAAGGAAAGAAAGAAAGAAAGAGACACAGAGAGAGGGAAGAAAGGGAGAGAGAGAAAGAAAGAAAGAAAGAAAATGAGAGAAAGAGAAAGAGAGAGAGAAAGAAAGAGGAGAGAGTGAAGGAAAGAGAAAGAGAGAAAGAAAGTGAGAGAGAAAGAGAAAAGAAAGAAAGAAAGAGAGAGAAAGACAGAAAGAAAGACAGAAAGAGAGAAAGAGAAAGAAAGAAAGAAAGAAAGAAAGAAAGAAAGAAAGAAAGAAAGAAAGAAAGAAAGAAAGAAAGAAAGAAGGGAGGGAAAAAAAACCCTCTTCCTTTTTGAAGTCCCAATCCTCATCTCTTGACCCCAGAGGATAAATATTGACGGAAGGAAAAGGGAGAGGGGCCGTGACATCATGGCACTGACGGCTGCCTGATCCCATCCGCCAAGGGGCCTGAACTCCTTGTCCTCAGCCGAATGTTGACAAACCCAGCGAAGAAATCCCGTTCGGGGAGATAATCAAACACGGAAGCTGCCAAGCTAAACTCTCCCTTTACCATGCAGGCTCAGGATTCCCATCAGAGGTTTTGAAAAGCACGGGGGTTGCCCGGGGCCTCCACCCTCTTCCTCTCCACCCTTGAACTTGTGCAAAAAGAGAAAAGAAAAGAAAAGAAACACCCTTTATTTAGTTCCATCTCTGGGACCGCACGTGAAAAGCAAGGGGGCTAAGATTCAAATCACGCTGAGATTCGTCCTTCCCGAGCCGGGAGATCGGACGTTGGAGATCATTGGAAGGATTTATACGCCTTGCAGACCGCTGGTCATTTGCCTTCTTTCAGAGAGTCGTTGAGGCCACTTGGAGGCTTAGCTGTGTCCTCAGGGTCACTTGAGTGGTGCAGATGGGGGTGGAGCCTTCTTGGAACTGCTGAAAGGGCCGTGTTGCAGACTGGAGATAGATGGTGTTGTATCCCTCCCCCTCTGTTGAGACAGGGCTGTACAATTTTGACATAGGCCTCCCGGTGGCTTCAACGACCCTCTAAAAGAATGCAAATGACCAGCTGTCTGCAAGGAGTATAACTCCTTCCATTCCCCACCATTCTTTCAGAGCTGAAGACATTTCCTTGCTTCTTTATATTCCTTGCAGACGGCTGGTCATTTGCATTCTTTCAGAGGGTCGTTGAAGCCACCTGGAGGCCTATGTCAGAATTGAACAGCCCTCTCTCAACAGAAGGGGAGGGATCTGACATCTCCTATCTCCAGTCTACAACAAGAGTCCTTTCAGCAGTTCCATGAAGGCTCTACACCCAGGTGACCCCGAAGACACAGATAAACCTCCAGGTGGCCTCAACGGCTCTCTAAAAGAAGGCAAATGACCAGCTGTCTACAAGGAGTATAACTCCTTCCATTCCCCACCATCTAATCATAGCTGAAGAAGCTTCTGGGATGAGAAGCGAAACGTCTTCAAAGAAAAAACAAGAAAGTCCAGTTGCCTCCTTGAAAAAGCAGCTTTGGGACTCTAACGCAATCAGGCAATCACATCTGCCGACCCCAGGTCCTTGGCAGGGACTCCATAGGCGGACAAAAAGGCCAAATCCAGACTGAATATCTGTCTGATGAACCATATTCACGCTGAAGTCTTTCCACAACTGTCCATTATCTACTACCTTTTGGCTCACCCTAGTCAACTCCACAAACAATGATGGAAGTGTGCAGCAACAGGGTGCAGCAGCAGCAGCCAAAAAAGCCAACACAGTGCTGGGCTGCATTAACAGAGGGATAGAATCAAGATCACACGAAGTGTTAGTACCGCTTTACAAGGCCTTGGTAAGGCCACACTTGGAATACTGCATCCAGTTTTGGTCACCACGATGTAAAAAAGATGTTGAGATTCTAGAAAGAGTACAGAGAAGAGCAACAAAGAGGATCAGGGGACTGGAGGCTTAAACCTATAAGGAACAGTTGCAGCAATTTGGTATGTCCAGTTTAATGAAGAGAAGGACGAGGGGGGACATGATAGCAGCCTTCCAGTATCTCAGGGGCTGCTCCAAAGAAGAGGGAGTCAAGCTATTCTCCAAAGCACCTGAAGTCAGGACAAGTAACAACAGATGGAAACTGAGCAAGGAGAGAAGCAACCTAGAACTAAGGAGAAACTTCCTGACAGTTAGAACAATTAACCAGTGGAATAGCTGGCCTCCAGAAGTTGTGGGTGCTACTACATCAGTGGAGGTTTTTAAGAAGAGACTGGACAGTCACTTGTCTGAAATGGTATAGGGTTTCCTGCCTGAGCAGGGGGTTGGACTAGATAACCTCCAAGGTCCCTTCCAGCTTTATTCCGATTCATTGATTGATTGATTGAATCTCCTGCTGTTATTCCTAAGCCATTAATCCTCTATATTAGCTGTGTTATCTTGCAGTCCAGAAAGACAACTGAGCTGCAATTGATTTTTGCAGTACAGGAGCCAGCTCATTAGTAACCGTTAACATTTTAGCTCATCCTAACTATTTTATTTCACAGGAGGAGATAGTATTTTGCTACTGCTGGGCTACAGCATTCGGAGTCAGGAGACAGCCTGGGATACATGGAAGATGCCTAAATGTTTTACATCAGGGCTTTTCAACCTGATCCTGATGCTTCTGCTGAGTCCTGAAGAAGCACCAATCAGCTGGAAAGCAGCACTGATCCTGGTGTTTCTGCTG